TCAAATCAGCTGTTCGCTTTGCATAACCTACTATCACTCAATCGTGGTCTAGTCTATGTGTTCTCTGGTTAGTGTTAACATGATATTAATTATGTTATTAGCAAATGCAACCGTGGTAGTCAATCGTTTTCTGATCTTAATATCGATAGTATCTGTCATTCCTAATTCTGAGTATATCGGCCAATACTCAAAATGGATAAAATTAAAGACACGAATAAATTTATTTGCAAAAGTCGTCGAAAGATTGACTTGAAAGACAAATTTTTTAAAGTTGACTCGCCCATAGCAAAATATCCTTTTCAAACATTTGTGTTTAGATGCACATGTATATGTTTGTACAACTTATGTACTTACATACATACACGCACATAAAATTACTGATTAATTTATATTATTGGTTTACTTAATAACTATTTTACATATGATTCCTTAGGTAATTTATCATGCCTAATATGCAAGATGCTTATCAAGCCAAATATTTGGAAGGTACATCTGAACTCAAAACAACACAAACAAAATGTTGTGCTGGCTAAAGGACGAAGTGAATTCGAGAATGTTTCGGAAACTCAAAACACTACTAAAAGAATGCAAATATCTCCTAAAACCGATTGCATTTCAAATCCTGAAATTAATTTACAATCGAGCACTGGTCAAACGGCTCACGTGACGCAATTAAATAAGTTTCAGGTATTACCCGAGAAATTTTTTGATCATGAGAAGTCATTATCTGTTTGTGGAACTGAACAAGATCCCGAGGCGGAATGGATCAAATTTCAAAAAGAAATAAGGGAAGCGGCTACAATTTCGAACAATATTATATCTGAGGAGCAGGAAAGTTTGAATATAAAACGGCATCTGAAAGAAATTGACGAACAACTTGAAAACTGGAAAAGGTTCATAAAAATAAATGATAAAAAAAACAAACTTTCCAAAAAAAAACGCAGGGAGATAAACACATTTACGGTCGATCAAGAATCAAGCTCCAGTGAAGAAGACAATGTAGATAACTTGTTAAATTGGAGAATAAAAAGTGTTCACAAATAAAACTTATGTATATTTCTAAACTATGGGAAAGGAACTTTGTATTTAGTACATAGAACAGGCAAAACTATGATTATTTATTTGATTACAAGTTGGGGAACAATTTAAGTGAAAATAAAACAAGTAAGAAAGCTCTAGTCGAGACTGCTTGACTACGAGGTCCCCTGAAACCTTGGAGCAATAGATATTTCAATAATTTTTCGCGTCTTTCAGCTTACACAAGAAACACGCACACACA